GCGGTGTGCCGGCTTCTAGGCCGTTGTTTAGAACCTTTTCCCTCAGGTCCAAGGACTTAAATATTAGGGTTTTAGGACCCAAATATTAGGGTTTCAGGGCACAAACACCGTAATATTCATGGTATTTGGGCCCTGGAGCCCTATTATTTGGGTCCTTGGACCCTTAGGGTTTGCCTTGTGGTATGTATGGGTTTATGCTGTGAGCTGTTGGGCTTTGCCAGGTACTTAACAGAAGGCCAGCAACCCTATACCCTGAAGCCCTGCAATTCCAACCCCCAGACCGAAAAGTTACCATTGGAGTTGCTTCGCAAGGCACATTTCTAACCTTAAGCCCTATAAAGGTTGCTTCCATTGCCGTTTTCTTTTCCATATGATCCTCCATCATTGGGGGGTATATATATATATAGATATGTGTATATACCCAAGCCTTAAACCCCAGTCTCTAAACCCCAGTAGTTTCTCAATTATCTTTTCCAGTCATCTAGCCCAAGTATAACCCCTACCCTACGCCCTAAAACCCATAACCCCTATATCATCCCATAGTCTTAGGGTTTAGGGTTTAGGGTTTAGGGTCATCCGTGACAAAGCAGACCAAGGTCTGTTGCAACCCATCAGGACGGCTGCGCCATGAGTTTTAGAATTTAGGGCTTGGGTTTAGGGCCCCAATGTAGACCCACAAATATTGTAATCTTCAGGGTTTGGGGCTTAAGGTTCAGGAGTTGTAGGAGCCATGCTAGAAAACTCCTGCCTTGTGCTGGATATATAATCCTAAAGCCCAAGCCCTAAACCCAAAACCCTAATTTCTTAACTCTAAACCCTAAATCCTAAACCCTAATTTTTTCTGGGTTTATGTGGCATCTTTACAAGGCCAGGCTAAAACCTTCAAGTCGTCACACATGGCGCGTTTTAGGGTGTAGGGTCTACGGTGGTATTCCATGCTGCCGGCTATGATGGGTTCTGGGCACTCAAGTTCTATACAATAATCGCAGAACCCATTTTTTTTTTCTGTGTGTGTGTGTGCCTGCCTAGCCTCGTATAGACTATGTAATACCATGATATCTCTGCTCGATTTCAGAGAGCTTTGCTGAACAGGGTTCACAGGGTTCGGCCTGTCAGAAGGCTGGGGTTTGGGGTTTAGGGTTTAGGGTTCTTAGGGTTTAGGGTTTAGGGTTCGTAGGGTCTAGGGGTTTAGGGTTCAGGGTCTAGGGTTTAGGGGTTTACGGTTTAGGGTTTAGGGTTTCTCTGTGCTCGGCCGTGGTAGCACAGACGGCGAACACGTACTTGGAGGGTCAGGGGAACTTAGTAAGTAGGTTAATCGCCCCTATAACCCATATAGTAACCCTAATTATTCCCATAAGTAATCTACTTACTAAGTCCCCCTGACCCTCTAAGTAGTGTCATGAGTTAGCAGTTTGTGTGTGGCCTGAACAGGGATAGAGTGCAGCCTCCAGAGGCCCTCTTCACTGGGAAACTGTACCTTGCTTGCCTCTGCGCTCCATATTCGAGGTCAGTAGGGGCCAAATAGGGCTTATACAGGGATTATAGGGTTTAGGGTTCTTATATAGGGATTATAGGGTATATATACCGGGACTATATAGGGATAATGGAAACTAACAACTTAATCCTCAGCCTGAAGGAGGTTTGTAGTAGATCCCATACTGAGGTTCATGTGTAGAGACATGGAGAAGTGAAGATGCCCTAAACCCTAAACCCTACGTAAACCCTTCGGTTTATGACGCTCTCTGGCTGTGCTTTCGGGAGACGGTGCTCCGCCTTGAAGCCCAAATACAGATCCCTTAGGCCAAAGCCCACCTAAAGCACCAGGAACAGCCCCAGTTCTAGGTACCCCGGCAGTACCCTTTTTCCCGTTTTATTTTGGGGTCTCCTTATTAAAGCTGAACATGAGGAAAAGGGGTACCCTTCTCATTCCGAGGGTTACTGGGAAACACAGTCAAACCCCTGACCCCTGAACCGGGCAGCTGTGAAGAATTTAAAATTACAGTAACTCACTATACCTAGACCCTCCATCTACCCTCTATATACCCCTAAATACCCACTATTAGGGACCATATACCCCTAATTAAGGGTACAAGGAGGGTCCTGGTAATGAGGAAACCCCAGTATTCCTTAGGTACCCATATTATGGCCACTTCGTTCCATGGGCCTTAAACCCTAAGTTCCTTAACAGCAACCAAGAAGCATAAGAAGCATAATGTCTAACTGAATTCAAGTTTCAATTGCAAGCCAAACCCTGAACTCTAAACCCTGAACCCTAAACCCTAAACCCTAAGCCTAAACCTTAAACCAGAGCTTCAGACTTCCTGTGGAAGGACTTCCGGGCCGCCCCTGTCGCAAGACCTGCAGGTCACCACCGCCAGTGTGTGGGGTTTGGGGTATAGGGTTTAGTTTTGTAGGGTTCAGGGTATAGGGTTTAGGGTTTAAGGTTTAGGGTTGTTGTGGGTTTAGGGTGTACGGTGTAATCCCTTACCCCATGAATAAACAACGTCCCCCCCTAATAATAAATAATCCGGGGGCTCAGAAATTGTTTATTATTGGGGGGGGCATATTTATTGAAAGGATTTGGTAAGGCTGCCTTTGAATTCATTTAAAACATCGTTTACAATTACATGAAAATGAATACTTATATGAAATAATCGAACTAATTACTCCACTAATTAAATTCGCAAATGTTCAGTAATCATTGAAATTTAATGAAAATTCCTTTGAAAACCTGTTGAAATCGATTTAGAACTCCTTCAAAATCAAGTGAAATCAAATGAAAATTCCATTTAAAGTCAATCGAAGGAAATTCCACTTACAATCAGTTGAAATCAAATTAAAATTCTATTCAAAATCAATTGAAATCGAATTAAGATTCCATTCAAAATCAATGGAAATCGAATGAAATGTCATTTAAAATGAACGGAAATCAAATTAAAATTCCATTAAGAATCAAAGGAAATCGAATTAACATCCCATGAAAAATCAATTGAAATCGAATGAAAATTCCAATAGAAACAATGGAAATCACATTAAAACTCCTTTTAAAATCAATTGATATCGAATGAAACCCTTAACCCCAAAACTCTACACCCTGTTTAGTTAGGGTTTAGGGTGTAGGGGTGTTGTCATCTCCAGCACTGCCATGAGCTCTGCGTGTGCAGCCGGCTTGCGAGCTTAAATGGGTAGTCCCCAAAATGAGGGTCGCATTTTGGTACCCCTGAATATTCGGTGCTGTAATATAACCTGTAACCAAAAGTGCCCATAGTTTTGAGAATTGCCCAAATATTTATCGATATTGCGGTCCTAGACTGCATGTATGATTGTCAACGCTATCGCGCACCCGCCTCGGCTGCTGTGTGCACAGAAAGCGATGCTCACGCATAGGCCGGGGGCGTGTGCGTAAACCCTAGAAACTCTGCACCCACAATATCCCAACATGATAGCCTCTATGAGGACCGCTGGAAGTCTGTGCATATGCCTTAAATTGGGGAATAACCTGGTGTTGAGGTGGGAAGGGAAGGGACGGGGGAGGGATGGGGGGGGAAATCCAACAAATGTCCGAGACTCGGTAAGTATAGTGTAGGGTACCTCAAGCTCAGAGCCCGACAGTAGGCTGCCCACTTCTGTGGCAGGACTGATCCGCGGTTCATGAAGAGCAAGGCCAGTGCAGCCGTCGGGCTTGGTTTGGTGCTAGCTTCATGAATGCATCGCTTAACTGGGGGTTTCCTAAAATTAGGGGTACCATTTTGGGGTCCCAATAATAAGGATCATAATATTTTGGTGTCTATATTGGTGTCCCCTTTTTTGGGGAAACTACCAACTGTGGAGTGAGAGGGCATTCCTAGGGTTGGCAATCTGCCCGGTGGTTAATGGTATTGTTGTTGCTTTCAGGATTGATTGACTTTTCGCCTCCCAAACCCTATAAACCCTCATCCCTCATCCCTGAACCCTAAACCTAAAACCCGGAAAGGTTTAGGGTTTCAGGGTTTCAGAGTTTAAGGTCAAGCCGGTTTAGCCAAAGCTTGAAGCATCAGTCAACCCACCTGCATGTTATTAGCATGAACTATAGTCTAAACTCCTTAAAAGGGTTATATAGGGATTATAAAGGGGACTACTATAGGGGTGATTAAGGGGGATACTAGGCTATAGCTCACATAATAGAGCCTAAATCCAAAACCCTGAAGCTCTCAACTCTCTTATCCACTCTCTTGCCTGAATCCCTCTGCACATTACATGTACCCATTGAATCCCCCGCTTTCCTCCATTTTCAAATTCCTTTTCCATTTGATTCTCCCTTGTTTTACGCCTTGGTCAGGACCAGAGAGACGCGGAGGAGCTGCAGATGTTACCACTCTCCCCCCAAAACTAAGAGCACTATGTGAGCTTTAGCCTAAACTTCTTCAAGAGAGTTGTATAGGGATCCAAGTATAGGGCTTATTAAGGGAGATCCTAAGAGTTTGGATTATAGCTCATGTAGGGTTACAAAGGCGCCATTGAGGATTTAGGGTTTCGGATTCAGGGTTGAGGGTTTAGGTTGCCAAGGGACCAGCAAGAGCGGACGTACGGTAAGGCCCTGTTCGATACAAAGTGGGCTTCGATGGAGCCACTGTTGGTTTGGAAGAGTGCAGCATGAGTCTTGAGGTTTGTTCTTCCCTTCAAGCAGTGCTTTGAAGGTTTACCCCGACCCAAAAACCGCTGCCATTGGTGGAATTGCAGTGCTTGTGTTTACTTGCAGCTGCAACCATCCTGTGTAATGGAGAGTGAAATGGGAAAGACATAGAAAACGACATGCAATCAGGGTGTATGTAGGGGTTTGGGGATTCTGTGAGCTGGTGGTAATCTGTTGCCAGCACATGCTCAGGGGCTAAACAAATTGCCGCACCAAGCCATGTTGCGAAAGCTTGACATGACTGTGAAAATTGTGCATTGGCTCTCAGGGGGTTCATAATTATAAACGCTCTCGCGCGCCCGCCTCGCCAAATACGCGTACCTGCGCCATGAGTAGCTCGGAGTCAGATGAGGCACCTCTCTCAGAGAGCGCCGGCAAAGAAAGCAAGCGCTCAATTTCCAGCCTTGGCTGCGGCTTTGTCGTGCTTGCTTTCGAAGAGTTTCTGGTTCTCAGTTCCATCGTAGCAGCTTGTCGTCAAGAACATGGAGAATTAGACAATGGGTTGATTATCGTGCTGCTTGTCGGCATCTTTCTGGTCCACGTCATGGTTCAATGTTGCCTGATGAATCAAGATGATCCGGTGAATTGTGGGCTGGAGGCCATTCAGGACGAGATGGGACATGCTGACTTCGAACAGCTCTTCGATGAGTTGCACAGTGCTGCGCCGAGCATTGAGCACATCGCAGTGGGCACGAAAAGAGGACCAAAGTTCATGGGTGGCGGTCACAGGCTTGAGAATCAAGTTATTCGCAAGCAAACGGAGTCCCAAGTCTTCGCCTACACAAGCTGGCGAGATGTGTCACACCCGGTATCAGGCAGGGACGGACCAAGCCTTTTGACCTTGGCAGAAAGCAAATCCCCCAAAGAGAGGAGCCTGACTCGAGGCCCTAACTTGTAGTGAGTCATCTAGGCATGCAAGGCCCCCAAGTTTTATGAGTGTCCTTTTCAAGGCACCATGCTTGCGCATGTTAGTGGGCGCGGGGAGGCTTTCGGAGGCTGAAGTGCTTCAACATGCTTAAACGTTTTCAGCAAACCTGTGGGACAGATTTCAGAAGCTGGCTTCATGCATGAACTAGTCATAGACTATAAGGTTGAAAAGCCGGAGGGCTCGTGAGTGGGTCTACAGAAGGCTCATGGGAGATTGTGTGCTTGTGTTTTTGTGTTTGAAATGTTGCTGCTGTTACGCCTGCGGACACTGTTGCTGCCCCCGTTCATTGTTATTCCTCCTCCTGCTGCTGTTGCTTCTGCTGTTGTTGTTGTTGTTGTTGTTGTTGGCGGCGGTGGTGGTGGTGGTGGTGGTGTTGCCGTTGCCGTTGCCGTTGCCGTTGCCGCTGCCGCTGCCGCTGCCGCTGCCGCTGCGGCTGCGGCTGCCGCTGCCGCCGCTGCTGCTGCTGCTGCCGCCGCGGCTGCTGCTGCTGCTGCTGCTGCTGCTGCTATCGCTGCTGCTATCGTCGTCGTCGTCGTCGTCGTCGTCGTCGTCGTCGTCGTCGTCGTCGTCGTCGTCGTCGTTGTTGCTGTTGTTGTTACTGTTGCCTGTTTTGACACCGTTTGACATGTGCTTGTTAAGAAATCAATGCTTCAAGCCAGTTCGTGTTCACGCCACGCTTGCGGAGTGTAATCCTTCAATACATGCTGAGCTGTTGGGACCGTGACGTGTTTTGAAGACAATTTCCCTGCCAAACCCTGCTGCAGATTATGATGACTATCCCTTTGCACAAGTGAAGATCACTGCAGAGTATGAGTGCTTCGACGAGCCAACAGCTACCAAAGCATCCATGGAGAAGCAGGCCGTCATGGCAGAGTGCGTGCGAAAAGCCGCGTCTGGAACTCAAAACTTCAGTGACTTCAGCAAGGTGCCTGAAGGACCAAATGAGCCCTGAAAGGTCGTAGGGTTATACTAATACTGTAATGGTTGAATAGTACTCTATTCATAATACGATAATAATTTTCATAATAATACTATAATTACAGTATAAGGAGTCCGAATACTTTTTTTGTCTTTGAGGTGACATTGACTCCAAACATGGGCGTGAAGCCAGTGGAAGGTAGCCAGGATTACGCCGTGACGAGCGAAGGTGAAAGCATCCCATGCTGGCTGTCCCTCAAGGTGGGGGTTTAGGGTTTAGGATTTAGGGTTTAGGGAGATAGGGGTGCCACGGGGTACATTACTTCATGAAGATCCCACTAAACCCTAAACCGTAACCTTAAACCTTAAACCCAATAATCATTTCGGGCCCATCTTGGGATTGCCCTTTTTGTTCTTAAGCTCTAAACCCGCAGCCCTAAACCCTACACCCTAAACCCTAAACCCTAAACCCTGAACCCTAAGCCCTAAACCATCTAAGGTCTACAAGGCTGGGTCGGTTCTCCTCCCGGGCTTTGGCACGGTGTATCGGCTCCTATTTTTGCGCTACGTCCCACTCCTCCACCACAAAATTGTCAAGCAGCTGGGTTCTTAGGGTTTAGGGTTTAGGGTTTACGGTTTAGGGAATTTGTTTTCCGTTACCATAATAGTAGGGATCTCTATAACCAATAAAAGTTTTCCTGGTAATTTGAATTGAAATTCCTTAGCCCTAAACCCTCAACTCTATAGTAATCCTTTTAGTAAACCCTTAATCCTAAACCCTTAACTCTTAATCCTAAACCCTTAAATTAAAGGAACCAGAACCCAGGCAGGTCTCCGTGTTGCGGCAAGCAGGTGAAGACTGGCAAGCTCGCTAGGAGAACTCTGAGCTGCCAAGCTGGAGCCGCACGAGGGGTCTAGGGTTTAATGTTAAGGGTTTAGGGTTAAGGG